CAATTGGTTGTGATCCACACAATCAAAGGCTTTAGCATAGTCAATGAAGCAGATGTTTTTCTGGAACTCCCTAGCTTTCTCCATGAGCGTATGTTGGCAATTTGATCTCTAGTTCCTCTCCCTCTTCGAAATCCTACCTGTACTTCTGGTAGTTCTCGGTCCACATAATGCTGAAGCCTAGCTTCTAGGATTTTGAGCATAACTTTGCTAGCATGTGAAATGAGTGCAATGGTGTGGTAGTATGAACATTCTTTGGCATTGCCCTTCTTTGGAATTGGAATGTAAACTGACCTTTTCCGATCTTGAGGCCACTGTCGAGTTTTCCAAATTGAGTGTAGCACTTTTACTGCATTGTCTTTTAGGATTTTGAACAGCTCAGCTGGAATACTGTCACCTCCACTAGCTTTGTTGCTGCTCAGACTTCCTAAGACCCATTTGACTTCACATTCCGCGATGTCTGGCTCGAGGTCAGTGACCACCCCATCGTGGTTATCAGGGACGTTAAGCTCTTTCTTGTATAGTTCTTCTGTGTAATCTTCCCACCTCTTCTTAATCTCTTCAGTCTCTCTTAGGTCCCTGCCATTTTGGTCCTTTATCATGCCCATCTTTGCATGAAATGTTCCCTTCATATCTCCAATTTTCTTGAAGAGATCTCTGGTCCTCCCTATTCTATTGTTTTCTTCTATTTCTTTGCACTGTTCATTTAAGAAGGTATTCTTATCACTTCTAGCTATTCTCTGGAATTCTGCATTCCACTGGGTGTATCGTTCTCTTTCTCCCTTGCCTTTTGCTTCCCTTCTTTCCTCAGCTATTTGTAAAGCTTCCTCAGACAGCCATTTTGCTTCCTTACATTTCTTTTTCTTAGGGATGATTTTAGTTGCTACCTCTTGTACAATGTTGTGAACATAAGTCCATAGTTCAGGCACTCTGTCTATCAGATCTAATTCCTTAAATCTATTTGTCACCTCTACTGTATATTCATCAGGAATATGATTTAGGTCATACTTGAGTGGACTAGTGCTTTTCCCTACTTTCTTCAATTCAAGTCTAAATTTTGCAACAAGAAGCTCATGATCTGAGCCACAGCCAGCTCCTGGTCTTGTTTTTACTGACTGTATAGAGCTTTTCCATCTTTGGTTGTAGAGCACACAGTCAATCTGATTTCTGTGTTGACCATCTGGTGATGTCCATGTGTAGAGTTGTCTCTTGGGTTGTTGGAAAAGAGTGTTTGCTATAACCATCATATTCTCTTGACAATATTCTACCAGCCTGTGCCCTACTTCATTTTGTACTCAAAGGCCAAACTTGCCTGTTATTCCAGTTATCTTTTGGCTTCCTACTTTAGCATTCCAATCCCCCATGATGATACGGACATCATTTCTTGGTGTTATTTCTAGAAGGTGTTGTAGGCCTTCATAGAACCAGTCAACTTCAGCCTCTTCAGCATCAGTGGTTGTGGCACAGACTTGGATTATTGTGATGTTGAATGGTTTGCCTTGGATTCAAATTGAGATCATTCTGTCATTTTGGAGATTGTATCCCAGTACTGCTTTTCCTACTCTTTTATTCACTATGAAGGCTACTCCATTTCTTCTGAGGGATTCTTGCCCGCGGTAGTGTACCTGATGGTCATCTGAATTAAATTCACCCATTCCTGTCCATTTTAGTTCACTGATTCCTAAGATGTCGATGTTCAGTCTTGTCATCTCTTGTTTGACCACATCCAGCTTGCCTTGATTCATGGATCTTACATTCCAGGTTCCTATGGAGTATAGTTCTTTGCAGCATCGGACTTTCCCTTCACCACCAGATAGATCCGCAACTGAGTGTCCTTTTGGCTTTGACCCAGTCACTTCATTCCTTCTGGCGCTACTAGTACTAGCCCTCCGCTCTTCCCCAGTAGCGTATTGGACACCTTCCGACCTGAGGGGCTCATCTTCTGGCATCATATCTTTTTGCCTTTTGGTACTGTCCATGGGGTTTTCATGGCAAAGATACTGGAGTGGGTTGCCATTTCCTTCTCCAGTGGATCACGTTTTGTCAGAGCTCTCTGCTATGACCTGTCTTGGGTGGCCCTGAATGGCATAGCTCATAGCTTCATTGAGCTACACAAGTCCCTTTGCCATGACAAGGCAGTGATCCATGAAGGAGCTCTGAACCTTAGCTAAGGTTAACATTAACCAGGTCACTTCTAACTAAGATTTGAAACTAGTTAGAAGTGAAGCCTCATAGTACTAACACAATCTTAATAATGGCATTAGGAGAGTTGAATGTGTGACATTCCTTAGATGTTGTAACATTACTTTATGCCTGCACACCTAAACTTTCAATTTGGAATAATGATGACATAATTAAAGGGACAGTCGATCAGAAAGCTGGTTTTTTTAGTGATGCCAAACTGTGTGTGAGAATACACACACAGGCAATTTATATTTTTAAATCTTGTTAAAAGCAACGTCTCCCTGCACTGATCTAGAAACTTCTAATGATACTATGTCTAAAGAAGCTTTTGAAGCATTGACGGACAGGTGTGTTTTTGTTTTAAAGCCCAGTTGGCCAGAGACTACATCTGAAAACCAGTTTTCTTTTCACAGTTTAAGATACAAGCTTTCAAAATACCAAGCAAGTCTGTTCATCACCATGACCCAATCGTCCCCCTTGTCCATGTCCACAGGTATAAACCTGTCCTTTCTGGGAAAGAAACACGGAGTGAAATTTACAGAGTACCACCTACAGAAAGAAGAAAAGGAGAAATGGGATTTAATATATCTATTTTTCCTGAAAAGTAACTGGATACTTAAAATCACTTCTATTGTGCAATATTAGGCTGACTCTATAATAGTAATTTGAAATCTTTTATAAGAAAGCTATTTTATGACAAGAAAGTACCAAATAAGAAAAATAGGTATTTAAAAACAGCTGCCAGAATTCATATACTTCCAAAGATATTGTGAGCCACATTGAGAGCCAAGATATGGGCTATTGTAGTGGCATAAAAATGGGAAAAAATAAATAAATAATTCCCCCTCCCCTCCACACACAGCAAACATAAAAATCACACTTATGTACCCTCAATACACAAATTAAAAATGCAAGAAGGTGAGATTTTGAGTGAATCAGTTTATTTCATATGCAGATAAATCTTGATTAGTTAGTGGAACATTCTACTTGAGTAAGACCCAGTTCCACCCTCTTTCTTTCTGTATATAAATTCAGAAAAACAAGTAGGACTACTGTACCAGTTCCATACTTATCTACTATGTCTCTGCAACTTGTAAATATATCTGATCTGCTCTATGTACAAAAAAGCATTTGAGCTGCTTCCTGAAGATATTTAAAATCTTCCTCCTTTTACTTATGTACGGCAATCTACCCTGTTACCATGTCAACTGGAGCTACATCAATCTGACTGACTATGACCCTTGAACAAGGTTGACTATGAACCTTGGACAATCTACTTCATAAATTTGTCCACTTAAAACCCAGAACCTATATTCAAGGATCTTATGGAAGCAGCACAGAGGAAAGTCTGGTCCTGATACATGTTGTCTATAGAGGGGAACTCTGAGAGGAGAACACTTTTACTAATAATACTTCTCATAATGTCTGAATTACCTGCTTAATATAAACACCATTCCTAGGAAAGAGATCCACCAATTCAGGATGATGTTTACTCTGTTGACCACCATGGCCCAAAGTAAAATTTATGTTGTTTCCCCAAGTGTAGACATCTGTAGGATCTAAAATGAAATAACACCATTTGTTTCATAATATACATGTGCATGCGATTCCTTATTTAAGCAACACTCCTGCTTTCTTTTAAATAGTTCTTCAGAGATTCCACAAAACTACTGAGTGAATCAATTTACCAGCATGAAAAAACACTGAGAACTAAGCAACTGAATATAGTTTGTGTACCAGCTCAACACAGACACATGCACACACAATGCAATATGTTTCCTGAGACTCTGGTGAAAGTACAGAATAGAAAAGCTATAAACAAACAAAGAAACAAACATGCACAGATGCATACACATACACTTTCAAGCAAGCTGAGCAGGACTTTAGCCATTGATAAAATTTATTTTCAAATATAACAAATTTTATGGCTATTAATTACTCCGTGCACTTTGAGTAACTATACAACATGAATTATGTTTTTTAAAGGGTACAATAAATATAGATTATATATGTTAAATTTTAGAGTACCACATCATTCAACCTTACTTCAGAAGTATTTCTATCCATGCAGACTGTGAGAGACAGGTTATATATTCAGAAAAGGCTGACCCACACCTTTGGGAATTTCTAACCACTGACTGGGCCTTATGGGAGATAAAACCCAAAACATCTGGAGGATATCCCAGACTGCTCTAGGGCCTAATGAAGGGATATGATTCAACAAAACTCTTCAATGTATAACTAGCATTCAGACTAGCCTGAAGCCACTACACTATAGCCAAGTCAATCATGCACTCACTGGCAAAATCTGGGCAAAACAGGCAGCGCAGCTGGAAGAAAAACTTAGCTGGCCTGCACTCTGCTCCAGTATTGCCAGTTAATACACACTTGCACACACAATGCAGGTTGCTCTGACATCCTTCAAACAGATCAGCTGCAATTAGTAATGACCTTAGACTGGTACTGCCAAGCACTGTTGCTTTAAGGTGTCGCTTGCCTCCCCAAACAGGCGAAAAATGCACATGTGGAAACTCAGAGGCAAATGTAAGCAGTTTTTCTGGTAAACTGCTAATCAATTACACAAATTGCCTTCCAATGTTTTAATGGAGTATGTACAACACATTTCATGCCTTTATCATAAGCTACACATAGCTGAAAATCAGTACAGCTTATGTTATATTCATTTTCTAAAAAAGGTTATCTAAATATTTAACTGTTTACCTGTAAGCATAGCAATTATCTTACATAATAACCTACCTGTATTCTTGAATACAACATAGGCTGGTCTGTCTTTCATTACTAGATCCAATGCAGACAAGCCTTCTTTGTCCTGTATGTATAAGTTCACACCATGCTGAAAACCAGAGGCGGGGGAAGAGAGACAGAAGATTTAAAGAACAAAGTATACACAACTTTTTCTTGTTTCATTAGTCTATTAGCCCCCTTATACTCCCATACAGATAAAATCATTTTTCAGCTCTTTCATCTTTATAATAGAAATGAAAGTTCTATTATAGAAATGAAAGTTCTGTTCTGGACAGGGCTGCAGTGCCTTCCGCAACCTATTTCCCTGCAGAAACGGAAGTCCTCAACTCCCGTCATCTTCAGCCAGTGTGACCAATGAGCTGCAGTCCAATCCAAATGGTGAGGAAAGGCTGCAATAAAAGGCCATGAAGCCAGTCTAAGGCTGCCCATTGTTCCAGCCTGTGCAGTCGAAGGCATGGAGCTCCTTTCAACTCCTGAGGCCAATATGTCAGCCACAGCACCATCTGAACCAGCCTAGCCACAGTTATCCTTACTCATCTTATGTCCAGATTTGGCAACTGTAACATGCTGGACATTCCACTGTCTCTAAACAATGATTAGAAACTGTACTTCGTGCAAAATACAGCAATGAACAAGAGGACCTAAACATTCTTAAAGAGCACCCCTGCTACCTGGCCTGTTGTCAAGCATATTCAATAACCTTTAAACCCAACACAGCTAGGGACCAGCTACCTAAAAGAATGCCAGGTTCCACATCTACCTGTCCATGCACTCAGGCAACATATGAAATATTTCACAGACAAATACATGATCGCAATACTAAAATAAATGGTAAAATACCAACCTTCAGTAGTGACCATGCACAATCTATATGGCCATAGAAGATGCCACGGTGCAAAGCTGTCCATCCTGATTCCTTGTCTTTCACCAACAAATCCACTCCATCCGTTTCTGCCAGCCAGTCTAGAACTCCTTTTTTACCACAGGAAGAGGCAAGATGAATGGCATTCCTGCCAAAGGTATCCTTGCTTGTTGCTGCATTATAGCAATGAGAAGTGAGGAAGGCCTTGATCTGGCCTTCCCTTCCTCGGGTCACTACAGAAATAATATCCAAAGCATGCTGCAGTGATCGACACTTTGAGGTACAGTCAGGCATCAGAGAACTCATCTTACTCTTGACTAAATTCTTCTCCTATGTAAAATAAGCCCCTCTAAAACACACCAAGGCACTCTGCATTCACCTGCTCTTCACAAGTTCATGATGCCTAGGTCTTTCACTCAGTTTCAGACAGCTGCCATATGAATCAATGTGCTGTTAAGGCTTGGCACGTAAAAAAATAAATATTTTCAGCAATATAAATTTAGAGTTTAAGTCTTCATTTCTGCTCGCTACAAAATACTGTATTATTGTCCAGGAAACTGTGGTATCCAGAAGGCAGCCAAAGGAGTGGGGAGGGGGATTCCCCCTCCACACCGACTAGCTCTTTTAGATATCCATAATTGCAAGGGAGACCTGCAAGATGAAAGAGAAAAGTGATTAGATGAGAAAATATGTATAATATTAATATTTCAGCAATTATGTGATGCTTTCACCTTCCATGGACACAGACAGTAGTATGCGTCTTGTGTGGGAGCTGAATATTTATGTTCTGTGCCAATAACACCACACACAGAATACTGACACTTAGTTGTTGATACATGTAGACAGAAAACTGAGGGTCTGAGCAGTGCTTGGAGCAGAAGGATGGACATCCCCTGGTTTCTTCCCATCATGTCAACTTCTTTACCCTCCATTGCCTTCATCCTTCAAACTTTTGTTTGTGCTACCCTAGTAATTACTGATGGACACACACACAGCTATATCAATATGATAGGTACAAATTCAGAAAACATTGAAATCAACAAAATTTAAACAGCTATGTAAATATAGCTGCGGGAGAGGCCCTTCTCGGGGAACCGTCCATGAAGGAAATTAGGAGGGTGAATACTCAGAGGAGGGCTTTCTCTGTGGTGGCGCCCAATCTATGGAATGCACTCCCCAGAGAGGTCCGCCTGGCGCCGTCGTTATTTGTTTTTCAGCGCCAGGCAAAGACCTTTTTATTCAAATGTCATTTTAATTGTTAATAGTATTTATTCATTTTATTCTTTGGCCAGGGTGACTTAGTTTATACTGTTAATTTATATTAATTTAAGGAAGTTTATTTATGGATGTGAGCCGCCCCGAGGCTTCAGCGAATGGGGCGGCACAGAAGTCTCCTAAATAAATAAATAAATTGTAATCATATTAGTAATTTTAAGCATATTTAACTTTTTCTCCAACGCCATTATCCAATAAAGCAGACAGACCATATGCATGAAGAAATATAAAAATAAAGAATGTATTGACATAGAATATGATTCTCCTGATGGAGAATGTGTTTTTTGGATAAACTATAATTATAACCCATTTTCATATGAGGATGTAATAATTGTATTTTTTTTTTTTTTACATAAGCGAAGGAGTGTATACTCTAGAAAAGAATTGTTAGTTTGCTTCGGATAGCGCAAAGCCTTAATTAGATTTAGCACAAATGAATATCCATAGCCTACCAATACTTACTATCAATATCAGTATAAACATGTCATTATAAATTTTAAAAATTTAGCTGTTGAAAAGGGGTCCCCAACACAGCACCCACAAAGATGTCTGCAACATGGTGCCTATGGACCCATGTTTTGTTTAATTCCTCCTTTTCTTATTATGCTTACATGGGATGCATACAGTATGAAATGCATGCAAGTTCTGAGCAATTATACATAAGCTTCAACACTTCTGGACCAAATATCCAAATACGTGTCAGTTTGAAGATGGCATCTATATGCTACTGTTCATCTATTAAAAGCATTTTAAGACTCTTATAACAGGTAATCATGCTTCTCCTTTCACTTTTGTAATACCAGCCTTTTAGTTGTCAAAGGAGTGCATAGAATCCATTTCAATTTCCATTTGTTAATTTCCATGAAGAAGATAAATATTATAAAAGACTGTGTACATCAGTGACTATTAAAGAATATATTCAATGCTCAGCACAAAATGTATCTAATTAATAATGTTCTCCCACAAAGAAGCGAATACTGGATGTTCATACAACATATGTTTAAAAGAAGCACTATTTGTATTGCACTGCCAAGAATTAGTCAAATTAATCAATCTCTTATTAAAAAGAACTTGAGGTGTGAAATAGACATAAAACAAAAGCTTTTGCTTGTTTGAACACAACCATAAGCATAACAGGTAGATGCCAAACCTGAAATCCACTAATAAGGCATAGTGTGGTAATGACCACAGCAATATCTCAAATTCCCAAATGTCTCCACAGGTCCAAAAAGGCTGGGGGACCCTGTACATTCAATACTAATTATGAAACATAATCTAGCAGATACTTGAAGTATCAATTGCCATGGTGTGACAAGCATACATTATAATTTAAAACTAATATTCAATATCAGTTACAGGGCAGATACTTGTAGCAGGAAATGGGCAAGTATTGCTTAACTTTACTTTCTTCCTTTTCTATTTCAATAACGGTAATCAAACACCTCCTCTGAAAGCTATACCTCTTGACTGGTAGGTTAGGGCAATAAACATACATGCCATGTGCTAGTAATTGCCAAGTACAGTAATCCAATGTTAACGCGAGTTACATAACCTATGAAGCTGGCAGTGGAGGGCACAGAGGGAACAAAACAGGAGGCCAGACAACATTAGTCAGAGTACTATTTAAGACCTTGCCATAAAAAAGTAAATTGCTGACATCATGAAGCATCTTTGAGTCAGCAGTTCTCTCTTATCTGTTACTTCACAAGTTGCGCAATGGTATGAAAGTTTAACATGCAAGTGTTGCCTCAAAACATGTTACACTGTTTGCCAGGTAGATTTATTGAAATGAGCAATAGGTTATTTTATGGTTACATTTTATGTATGTATGTATTAGGGCATTTATAGGCCATCCTTCACTGTCATCTCTGGATGGCTTACAATATAATACAATCTAAATCCTAAACTAAATAAATTAGCTATACCATGACTGATATGTCTGCATTTCATGTCAATGTGCAAATTTAGTTCCTACTTAATAAAGCCAGTTTCTTTTCTGTGAATCTTATGTGACTTCAGTTTCAACAGGAACACAACTATTAAAAAGAGCCAATCCAAGCAGACTATGTTTTAGAAACCATCACAGACAAAGCAAATTGAAAACTTCTAACATTTGTTGGTAGTTAAGATTTAGCAGGATCAATAGCAAATATACTCAAAAGGTACAAAAGTGTGCATTTTGTAACTCAGCACAATGCCAGATGCCTTCTATGTGTTGCAATTATTACTTTCCAATTGCTCTTTAGTATGTTAGAATGGAAACAGTGCAACTGGTGTCACAATTTTTGTTTGTTTGTTTGGATATAAACCATAACATGCCAAAATATGTAAAATTAAGTGTCATAAAGGCATTTTTAGCCTGTGATCTACATGCCACTGCTATGGCTCACATTGTAGTTAAGCAAGAAATGCTCCTTTTATGACAAAACAGGTTTAAAAGAGAACAAATTGTGACAAATTGTTTGGTTTGTAACCCAAGAGACAAAAGGTTTATTGAACACTAAACAGTCCCAGAGAATGAAACAGGCCCAGATTAATGCTTTGTTTGGGACACTGGAAAAACAGAGATCTGTTTATGATGGGCACAGAGGATTATGTCACATCAAGAATTTTGCAGCCTCTCCACTGTTTCCAATTGTGTGATTTTAAAAGGGTGATTCAAAGACACCCTGTCCACGGCAGCCCAGGACTGGGTGGCAGGAATCAGGGACACCTCACTCCCTTGCTCTATACAAAGCTCTCTTAGAGAATGAAGAGGTTGAACAGGAGTGGCCACAGCAAAGCACTTGAATAAGCATGGGTGACACTCTATCTACTCATTGCTCCTGCTGAGTTACATCAGCAAAAGTTACAGAGGAATTTAAAGAGGGTTTAAAAAGGCAAGCAAAGCAAAGCCAGACAGAGCTTCACTCTACTTTCTCCAGACAGACCACCACTGTAGCTGCTAAGACATGAATAAGTGCCAACAGAGCTTTGGCTATGGGCGGTATAGAAATGAAATACATAATGACAATAACAATTGCTTAAACTGTAGTAGTTCTGGGAGGTAACTATATCAGGCAGCTCATTCTGCAAAATGTATCTATGAGTATGCAATTGTTTTACCATTGTGATTAGAAGTCCCAAAACAAAGCTATGGAATTTCTTCAAAAGCAAAAGGTCACGTGTAACTTGACAGCCCTGCTCAGCTCTTGTGAAAGGCAGCAGTGGTGGAAACTTTATTTTAAAATTATGCTTGGAGCTTTTTTTTAAATAACTCTTTATCTAATTTGGCTCTAACCTGACAAATGAAACATGCGTTACTTATTCTCTATCAGCTGCATATGCCACCAGAGTGTTTTCAGACCCACGAATAAATGCAGCTCATGTTCAGAATTTGTTTGCTCTCTGTATAAGAATGCTAACCAAGATCACTTGCTTAAAGATTTTTCTAGAACTTGACCTTCAGAAAAGTTCCACATAGAGAAACCAAAAAAATGCTAAGGATAAAAGGAAAATTGTCTATGCTGTTTGGTTAATAAAATAACAACTAAGAATCAGTCAGGTAACTGGAAGGACACTATAAATGAGACTCTAGAGATTATAATGGAGCCTGGTATTTATAATATTACTGCAACAAGAAGGTAGCACACAATTAAAAATATCTGGAATCCAAAGGGCCACTCTAAGTATGCCTCAACAGTAAACAATTTTCCCCCATTTGAGTGGTACACCCCCACACTATATAACAAATTACTTTTGAAATTCTCCTCAGTTTTAAGTTTTTCATGCAGAACTACTCTTCACGTAACACACATCCAAAGTGCTCCATCACCACCACAAACACACACACACACATTAAGAAATGAGTCATGAAATTCTTTAAATCCAGGCTGACAGCTTGGATTCAAAGACAGTGTCTTGTTTATAGAATAGCTATTTACAATTCAGCAAAAGGCACCGTTCAAGAAAAGTGAATTGAAATCCAATATTTTTATGAATATTTTTATGATGGCACAAGCTCTTGCACAATAGAGTTCACTATTTTTCAGGGATTCCATAACTTTAACTCTTTATAGTTTGAAACCCTTCCACTAAAGGTGGTCAACTTTAAAATCTTCCAAAATATTTTGGACTACCATTCACATAAGCTCCACTCAGCACAGGAAATGGTGAGAGAAGATGGTAAATGTCGGCCCAAACATCTGGCAGATCACAAGTTCCACAGCCCTGCCTAACGCATTGCAAAGCAGGTTCTAACAGCTATGCTTAGAAGGCTTGTTTCACTATCGTAAGCTATTTACATTGCAGCTTATTGTCAGTAACAATAGGTCCCTTCTATCTCCCCAAAATGCATGAAATGTCTAAGTGCACCATCTTTCCTACACATTACACATGCTGTGGCCAAGCCTGATACTCAGTCACTGTCCTCCAACTGATGCTTACACACCAGTTTGTGGAACAGCATTCAGGAGTGAATTCATGCCATTCATACTTGCTTGGCTCCAACCCAGTACTTGGCATAGTGTCACTGTACAATGATTAACTTTAAGTCATATATATTTCCCATGTTTTCACTTTAACATAGAAAGCAATCTTTAAAAGAAATTTATTAATTATTTTTCATCTTCCTTTTCTGCAAAGACTCAAAGCAGTCAACAACACTAACATTTCAATAAAAACACAATTAAAAAATAAAAACAGATCAAAACACTGTGATTCAGTTTTAAGAAAACATCAGCAACAACTTAATATATTTTATTAAACTGAAGTCTTGCTTAAACTCATTAAGGAAATGTTCTCAAAAGTGGTACAATGATAATGCAGATTGCAACCTTTTAAAATAAGAGTGAACAATCCGTCCTTTGGCTTTCAGCACTAACCAACATAGACAATGGTGAGGGCCCACTGGAGGCTTTGGCCAAAACATATGGGGACAGAAACTGGCCACCCTTGTTTTAGAACATGACAGCCCTTGCTGCCACAGCAATACAGAAAGCTTGTGTCAACCACATGCATCCACTTTTTAATCAAAAACTGAGTTTCAGTTGGTTGGACGTTACCATTAAGAGCTGGAGGAATCTAAAGGAAGAAGGTAGTAGGAAATTAAGAGACATTCCATTAATCTGCATGCTAAACTGCATGCCCATCTAAGTAAGGAGCATCTTAGATATACACTAGATCCATGTGTCAAAAATGCTACTGGCTTCTAAGCTGGGTCACAATCTTAACAGCGAGCAGCAAAAGACAAACAGGACCTACAATAAAATACTGTGGAAGTTACAGACAGCCATGTTTCTTCCCATTATACTCCATTCCATCCCCTCCCCCTTCCAGTTTGGTTTTTTTTTTTTTTTTTTTTTTTTTGCCTCTTCCTGTTCCACTACAAAAATGGAACATTCTGCTACTATTAAGTATAACACATCCTCTTTGGTCATTGTTCTTAGATCTTCTTCCATAATAAAGATGTTTTGTACTTCTGCAAACCACAATCTTTGTGCATGAATAGTACCATTTTAGTGAAATAAAATATGACTATCTTGAACCAGTAAATCATAGCTAATTCATATATTTTTATTTGCAAACAGCAAGATTTGCACATACAATTTTGAATTGTAAACTGTACACAACCTTATTTGAATACATTTTCGTAAGTAGCAAGAAAAGGAGTGCCCAGATTACCATGTTATATTCTACAGCACACTTATTTCACGTCTTCACGCTAAGTTCTCCAAGCATGACAAAAGAAAATTCAAAATTTCCATCCCCCAAATGAAATTGTTAGACTCTTAGCAAGAATGTATAATGTATCAAGGCTACCAGAAGAGACAGCAGTAAAGGTAATAAGAACATAAGAAAAGCCATGCTGGATCAGACCAAATGTCCATCTAGTCCTGCACTCTGTACAAACAGTGGCAAACCAGCTGCCCACATGATCCCTCAAAGCAGGTCAGGTGCAAGATCTCCCCATCCAGCTCCTCAGCAACTGGTATATGCAGGTGGCTTTGTTAAAGGAGGTAGCACACAGCCAGAAGGGCAATATGATGCCTTCCACTTGATGTACTTACAAGACTTTTACTCTGGTGTCACCTGCTAAGCTATTTAGCAGAACAGGTCACTCAAGAGATGCATATTCTTCTTTACTAGAACATGACAAGAGTTGCTTTAAAAAATACTGAGATGTCATCAGTACCTACGAAGTACCCTAATGTACTTTTAACTGTTGCAAGTAAATTTCCCTTAAAATGAAATGATGTCACAAGTCATTAGCAGGTTTGGAGAGTCTTCTAACTATCTCACATAATCTAACTAGATTCAGTTTATGTAGTCATTTAGTGGCTATCCTCTGCTTACTCTGGCAAGAGTATCCTTATAAAAGCCCTCCTGTTCGCTGTAGTAGGTCAGCATGTCCCTATTCTATTCAACCAAAGCAACATCAGTGTTACTGTGTACACAGTTATTCCACAAACAAAGCAAGTGGAGTCAAGGCACCAGGACTTACACGGCATAGCCCTGCGAGGGCCAGGGTGTGTTCAGTACTGTCCTTCTGAGATAAAACCTCCTGCAAAAGGGTTCTCATCCAGTTAATTCTGGAAGCAACACAGCTATACAGCACAATGGAATGTTGCTTCTGGACAAATAGCTCTTGGGCAACAGCAGTGTTCATTTTGCAAACCCTAAGGAGGAACCACTGACACAGAGATGATCTAGGAAAATAATCTTGTGAACTTTAGGTAATGAACTCCTAGCAAATATACTTTGCCTAGCTACTATTTGGTCACCCTTAGTGTATCCTAACCTCTTGTCTTGGTATTTCGATTTTCAAACAGCCAATCTTTGGTCTATCGTTGCTAGTACTAACTTCATTTGCTGGAACGATCATTTGCTGTTTATCCCTTTCATTCCCTGATGAAGTTTGTGCGATCTACAGAAATTTGACCAAAGCAGCTCTTTGCCTTCGGCGACTCATACAAGCAAGAGCAGCACCTGTTGGGTTTCTGCCATGGAGCTGATTAAACGCACAAAATCTCTGTCGGGCACGGATGGGAAGGAACGGTACCGATCGCTGCATGCATGCCTGGCCGCCCGACCGCCCCCGTCTCTGTTGCACTCCCTCGCCCCGAAGCAAAGGCGCCCCTTAAGTATCTCCACCCTCACCAGTCGCTAGATGAATGGGTTCAGATGGTCGCAAAGGGACGCGCGCCGGAGAACGGGAAGGCTCATCCTCAGTGGCTCCGGGGGGCTCTCAGCAAAGCCAGGGCAGCAAACGGCGAAAGAGGAGCGCAGGAGGCTGAGACAGCCAGCAAAGCCGCCACGGCTGCAACCCTGCAGGAGGAACTGAGGGCGGAGAAGCACAGGCGCCCGACACGCGGAAGCAAGACGCCGCGCGATTGGGCGAGGAGCTGAGCATCCTGAGCGCCGATTGGCTGGCAGGGACCGAGCCACCGGCTTCTGCCAAGAGTTAAAAGGGACTGACACGCAGTGGGCCCTTCAGGCGGGAGGGTCGAGGGGAGGGGTCGCCGCTCTGGAAAGCGGGGCTGGGTCGCTGCTGGAGCGTTTTCGGACGGACCCCTCATGCATGTTGCCTTGGCGGCCAGTTCAGTTTTAGGGAGCCTTTTCCCCAGCGGAACGGCACAAGTCTAGGCACTGATGACGTGTGCTTGCTGGTGCAATCTTTAGGCAGATGTAAGACCCGTTAAATTCAGTGGGACTTAGCAATGGTGCAACTCTTTCAATGAGTTTAAAATGCAAAACTGCACACGCTCAGGATAGTTCCCCCCCGCCCCCCGCGCATCATCACGGTCAAACTGTGCAGACGTTGCTCTAACATACCAGGAATATAAAACTAGCCATACAGGAGCTTGTTTACTTGTGAATGCTCTGTATGTCTTCTTCAGCCCTTTCAGAGTTTTAGATTTACTCCCAAGGACCTGTGCATTAATGTCGCAGCTATCGGATCTTTGTGCATAGTTGTGCATAATTCCTCAGAAGCAAAACCCACAAAGTCAAGTGAGCAGCCAGAGAATTGTACACATACGCATTCGGTTGCCCAAGTGAAACATAGAGGACCTTGTGAGACTGCTTTTATTTCTGCCAGGAAAGTGAAAACTGATGAAGTTTGGACTGCATGCTAAGCCATTGTGAGTTCAAAGCCTCCTTGGCTTCATATGTTGCTTGCACCTTGCTTACATCCACCCACTATGAGGTAGAGCACTGTAGCCACACTTGGGTTTGCAGAGACATCTGAACCCAAATGACACAGCAAGCCCAGGTGAAGCCACGAAGCATACAGAGCTGCTTGGCCAGAAGAGCAGAAAGTGTTGCCACTCTTGTCAAGTGGCTCTTATGAATGCCACCCAAGGTGCACTTTCAGCAGGTTTCATTGGCTTCACTGCCACCATGTGCCACCTCCTCAAACCCCATAAAGTGCTTGGAGGGCCAGCATACAGAGAACATTGGCTTGTCCCCCACAAGCAATGGGGGACCCCCTTTTGCTAAGCACCATGATTGACCCATAGTTGTGGTGGGGCAGGATGAGGTGTGTCCGGCTGGGTCTCCCCCTGAAGGAGACACAGCAAAAGATGCTCCTGTTGCTCACTACTGATATGGTTATTGAGTGGCTGCTGCAGAAAGCAGTAGAATGCACAAACTATATTCTGCTGGCCCTCCCCAGATTGGTAGTACTTGTGAGTCACCTGCAGCTATTTAAGGTGCCCTCCTCTGCCCAGCCCAGTGTCAGGTAGTGCTGGGGTGAGGAACCTTGATGCTTCCACATTGTCCCCTGGGATACCCTCAGGAGGCCCAAAAAGTGGGAAGGTGGCTCTGGAGCACAAAGTACCCAGTCATCACTTATGCAGCCTTTCCAGCTTAGAAAAAAAGTTCATTAGGGGAGACATAATAGGAGTATTAAACTAATGCATGATGTGGAGAAAGTGGAGTGGGAGACATAACAGGATCCCATAGAGGATCCAGGATCATCCCATAAAGCTGATTGCTGGGAAGTTTAGGAAAGATAAAAGGAAATACTACACCCAGAGTTTAGTTAATTTATGGAATTTGCTGTCACGGAAAGTGGTGATGGCTGCCAATCTGGACGGTTTTGAAAGAGGATTGGACAGATTCATGGGGGAAAGGCTACCAGTGACTACTCACCTTGCTGGCTACATTCTACCTCCTTTACCACACCTGGCAGGCCTGCTCATTCCAGATGCTGAGGGGCTTGAGCAGAAGAGGCCTTGCACCCATGCTGGTTGAAGGATCTTGTGGGCAGCTGGTTTGTCACTGTGTGTACAGAGTGTTGGACTAGATGGGCCTTTGGTTTGATCCAGTATGGCTTTTCTTATGGTCTCAGGGATGTGATAAGCTTCTCAGGGATGTTATAAGCTCCAGGGCAAACAATCCACACTGGATCATTTGTACACAGTGGGGTTTGTTGTGTTGTCCAAACCCACCCACTTATGTAAACAAATTATGACTTACAGTTATGATTATTATTCCTTAAAAAGAAAAGTTATTCCATTGGTCTTGGGCAATGGACGTAACAGCGGTGGGGGCTTAACGTGTCCGCGTAGAAGAAGGAGGGACAGATGGCTGACACTTATCCCTCCTTCTGGTTTTGCCCCCAGCCAGAGGGTGCCAGGTAGTCTTGTCAACCGGCCCTCAGGCCTGACAGTGCTGCTGCTCAATGCCAGGTCGGTCAATAATAAATCTTCCCTCATCCATGACTTGATTGTGGATGAGGGGGCCGACCTGGCTTGTATAACAGAGACCTGGGTGGGAGAGGAGGGGGGATGTTGCCCTCTCTCAACTGTGCCCACCCGGGTGTCTGGTTCAGCACTGTTCACGCCCAGAGGGGAGAGGAGGGGGGATTGCTTTGGTTTACCGAGCCTCCATCCCTCTCACGGGACTTCCGGTCCTTCAAGACCAGGGCTGGAGTGCCTCTACTTGGTGTTGGGCAACCGAGACAGATTGGGGATTCTGTTGGTGTACCGTGCACCCTTCTGCCCAACAGTCTCCCTGCCTGAGCTGACGGAGACCGTCTCGGACCTGGTGTTGAGGACCCCCAGGATGTTGGTCCTGGGGGACTTCAATCGCCATGCCAAGTCTGGTCTGACTGGGGCGGCTCAGGACTTCATGGCCTCCATGACGGCCATGGGGCTGTCTCAACATGTCTCCGGCCCGACCCATGAACGTGGACACACTCTGGACCTGGTTTTCTCAACGGGGCAGGAAGAGGGTGGTCTGAGGGTGAGGAATTTATGTTTGACTCCCCTGTCATAGTCAGATCACTTCCTGGTGAGATTTGTGCTCGAGAGCAGCATCTCCCTCTGTAAGGGTGCGGACCCGATTGCATGGGTCCGCCCCCGCAGCCGGATGGATCCGGAAGGATTCCTGAAGGCCCTGGGGGAGTTTCCGGCTGACAAGACTGGTGCTCCTGTCAAGGCTCTGGTCGAACTGTGGAACGGGGAGATGACCAGGGCTGTGGACACGATCGCTCCTAAGCGTCCTCTCCCACCGGGCCGAGCCTGCTCTTCCCCTTGGTATACACCTGAATTGCGGGCAATGAAGCAGGTTGGGAGACGGCTAGAGCGTAGGTGGAGGAGATCATGGGATGAATCTGACCAAACACACTTGAGAGCCCACTATCAGGCCTATGCTGTGGCGGTGAGGGCGGCAAAAAAGAAGTTTTTTTCCGCTTCCATTGCCTCCTCACAATGCCGTCCGGCGGAGCTTTTTCGAGTGGTGCAAGGCCTGGTTCGCCCGGGTCTTAAGGAAGATCTGATGCCACCCTCAAAGGCCCGCTGTGACGACTTTGCCAGGCATTTCAGGGAGAAAATCGCTCAGATTCGTCACAAGCTAGACACCACTAGTGAATCAGAGGTTTCTGGGGAGACGCCAATGCTGCCGTCTGGTCCAGCATTATTGGATGAATTTCAGTTATTGCGGCCCGATGATGTGGACAAGGTGCTTGGACGAGTACGTCCCACCACTTGCCTATTGGACCCTTGCCCGTCTTGGTTAATAAATAATTCCAAGCACGGGATTGGGACCTGGATCTTGGAAGTGGTGAATGCTTCTCTGAGGGAGGGTCAGGTATCTGCCCCTTTAAAGGAGGTGGTAGTCTGACCGGTCCTGAAGAAGGCGTCACTGGATCCAGAGATGGCCACTAACTATAGACCTGTGGCCAACATCCCGTTTCTGGGCAAGATGTTAGAGCGGGTGGTCGTGGGACAACTCCAAGCACTCTTGGATGAAACTGATTATCTGGACCCATTTCAGTCCGGCTTCAGACCCGGGTACGGTACTGAATCTGCCTTGGTCGCCCTGTACGATGACCTGTGCAGGGAGAAGGACAGGGGGAGTGCGCCCCTGTTGGTTCTCCTGGACCTCTCAGCGGCTTTCGATACCATCGACCATGGTATCCTTCTGGATAGGCTAGCGGGATTGGGGGTCGGAGGCACTGCTTTGCAGTGGTTCCGCTCCTATCTCAACGGCCGATTCCAGAAGGTAGTGCTGGGGGACTATGGCTCTGCGCCATGGCAGCTATGCCATGGAATACCACAGGACTCCATTTTGTCCCCTTTGCTGTTTAACATCCATATGAAACCGCTGGAAGAGGTCATCAGGAGGTGTGGGCTGCGGAATCATCAGTACGCTGATGATACCCAGCTCTACCTCTCGTTTTCCACCAATCCAGGTGAGGCAGTGGCTGTACTGAACCGGTGCCTGGCCGAGGTAATGGGCTGGATGAGAGCCAATAAACTGAAGCTCAATCCAGACAAGACGGAGGTCCTGTTGGTTGGCGGATCGGGCTTCGGAGAGGGTGGATTTGACCTGGTCCTGAATGGGGTTGCACTCCCTCTTAGGGACAAGGTCCGCAGCTTAGGAGTACTCCTCGGCCTGGAGCTTTCATTGGAAGCTCAGGTGACAGCGGTGGCGAGGAGCGCTTTCCTCCAGCTTCGGCTGATAAATCAGCTGCGCCCCTACCTGGAGTACGACTGCCTGGCGACGGTGACACACGCGCTGGTGACTTCCCGCCTTGACTTCTGTAACACACTTTACATGGGGCTTCCTTTGAAGACGGTCCGGATACTTCAGTTGGTTCAAAATAGAGCTGGCTTCCCATTGAAGTCCGGGCCCAATTCAAGGTGTTGGTGATGACGTATAAAGCCCTAAACGGCTTGGGTCCTGGTTACCTGAAGGAGCGCTTACATCCATATATGCCCGGCCGCCCCTTGAGATCTACGGGAGAGGCCCTTCTCCGGGAACCCTCCATGAAAGAAATTAGGAGGGTAGGTACTCGGAGGAGGGCTTTCTCTGTG